TCCGTGAAAAAAAAAAAATTTGTCATCTTTGATAGCTTAGAAAAAACCTCACAGTTCTTTTCTCCTTTCCAAAGCAATATAATGAAGTCCATCTTTTTCTCCCACAGAGGAAGCAGAGGTAGAAAGCTGAAATGCAGTTGTATGTGAAAGCCTTTGACTTATTGTCTAGCTCTGTGACTCACCAATCAGCCTCACGTTCACAACTGCCCTCTCCTTGGAGTGCAGAGAGGTGCTCTGACCTAAACCTTCCCTCCTTAGTCTGTTTCCACCTTCTGTTGCAGATGGAAACCGTGTCCTCTAATGCTTACTAAGGCCAGGTGCCTGGCTGATGGCCTTTGGCTGCATGCACATACAGATTCCCCTGGCTTTGGTAATTTGTGCTTCTGGTTTTAGCTTTTAAATCCATCATCAGGGCTGGCATGGACATCCTGGCTTATCCAGAACTACTCAAGCTCTGTGCCAGCAGTATCACTTCTGTAAAGCACCTTGAGATGCACGCCATGTAAGGAGCTGTAAATATCCCATTGGAGTAATCTGGAGCAATAATCTGGAGGTGGCACTTACTGCCTGCAATATGTAATGGAGGACATATGTTCTGCCATTACATTGTGCTTCGCAACAAGTTAAGAGCCTATAGACTTATTCCTGCATTTCTGGTGGTAAGCTGCTTCTGTTGCATGAACAGAAAAGGAACCAGACTTAGAATACTACGTGCATGATTTACATCTTCAGGGATATTCACCTACCCTCTGTGTCTCTTGTTTTTGGAAGGCATCCTGGGAATAACACCAGGGATTAAATAAACTCCAGTCTGTTACCTCACCGCAAAATGTGGCAGGGGGTACTGGCTGCCTCAAGGGAACAACCCCCTTCCTCCTGCCTTCTCCTGGGAGAATAGGATCAGACCACGAAGATACCCCACAGCTGTCTCCAAGTGCAAAGACCTTAGCCCCAGAGAGCTGAACTCCCCTCATGTTTGCAGATGCTACCCTCCTTGCCCACTTTGAAAAGGCAGGCTCTCCAGTCTTCCTGTGCCGAAAGGGCTGATCTCTGCCCTTCAGGAGCTGGTGAGTTTGCATGAAAAGGCAAATATTGTATCTTTAAACAAATGTTGCAACTAAAAATGAATAAACCTGCCAATGTCTGCAAATAGACCAGTTCAGTAGTAGTAAATACTAGATACGTATATAGATATGTCTAACAGTATGCCTAGTAGTAAATACTAGAAAACAACAACCAAAATGTCTACCTCTTTATTTGGTGGTCAAAAAAAGGTCTTTTTTTCATCAGGTTGCCTCAGGCCTGGATGGTCTTTTGGTACAGAGTAGCAACAGGCCATTAGGGAAACTGTCATGGCTTGGAGAGTGAAATCCAGCAGCTCACTGATCAAGCTGCAACCATCATCCATACAGTTGTGCAGAAACCATGAGATGGCACAAAACCTGATCTGCCTCTTTGACCAGTGGATCCCTGTATGTTAAAATCCCACTTCAGGAGAGACTTTAGCCAGCTCTGCATTCACCCTGTGCTGCCAAGGCAGGAAGATGCTGAAGGGTTTGGGAGAGAAGCTGTAACTTAGTTTTGCTGCCAAGCCCTTGACAATGGCCCTGAGAAAACCATTCTCCCCAGGCTGGCTACCCATCACGGCAGGGGAGCTGAGGCTCCTTGACTTCTCCATGCTTTGAGCAGCCTCCTGTTTCCGCTTGCAATCTGGAGGGACATATGTGTCTGTCTGTGTCTGAGATGTGTTGTGTGCACGGTAGCCTGTGAGCCCCTGCTCTACCAATTGTCAGTCAATATGTTTAGCAAGAACGACACTATCATACTTCAGAACAGAAAGTTTATGTCATTTAAAGCTGTGAGGTATTTGAATGGCACTTTGAAAGTCATAAGGCGGTGATTTATGATGCTTTTTTATCTAATGATTTAACACACCCAAGAACCTTACCCTTGAACCACAGAGGAACAAACTTCAAATGATTTCCTCTTCATCTGTATTGCATCACTGTCTTCATTGGGAAAGATCAGCATTTCTGAGCAGAAGTCACAGAAACCGAGAACCTTATAACCAACGGCCTTCATGTGGTGTGCCACTATGGGAAAGCCTTATTTCTCCTGCCTCTCACCCTGCTGAGGGAGTACAGCAGACTATTGCTGTCCTTTCAGTCCTTGGCAGACCTGGGACTGGGACGTGGGTCCTCCAGCAATGCAGGCACATGTGTGTGACACCCTGGAAGGATGCCCTGCATCCTCAGCAGCACAAATTAGACCTAAAGCTAGAGCAGGAAACCCTCCTGACTTACGGTGCAATAACCACTACAATAGCTGTCAAGGGCGACTCAAAACGCACCTACATGTAGCTGCTCTCCAGCACCCTGGTAAACAGGCCCACAACTTGATTGCCTGCTGGACAGCAGGGAACTTAATGCCTGATGCAGGAAGCTATTTAGAGATCTCATACTGTGCCATCGGCTGCTGAGCTAGCACACGTTGCTAAATCTGAGCCGGCAGTGCAATTGCAGTAATTCCCAGAGCAGTTTACCCAATGCTTATTCCAATAATAAGGCAGTAAGAGGGGGGCTGCTAGGGGTAGGAAATCCAAAACTGCTGCTGCTATATTTCATAAGATAGGGCAAAAGATAAGATTAATCATCTTGTCTGCATACCTGTTTTACTGCAGGCCATTAAAACTACCAGTTACTCTCGTGCTGAGTCCAGAACATTGAATATATGTTTTATTTGGTCAAGCCACCTCTTCTATTAAAAAACAGCCAGTTTTGATGAACATATTTGGAACAGGCCCTTGGATATCTTCTTTGACAACTAGACCCTGCAGTGCACCTTTGTTTTTATTTCATGTTACATCAAATTTAACAGGCCCAGGAATGTGCTTCAATGCTTTGATGCCTCCCTTTTTTTTCTATGCCCAGCACAAACTAACATAATACTGTGAAAATGAAGGTTAGTTTGATTTTGTTTTCTTCTTGCTCCAAACAGCAAATAATGCAGTGACAGATGTTATGGTCACCAACCAAAATCTTGTGCTGTGATTAGCTATTATTAGCATGTCTCTAATCCCCAGGAGATTAAGTGGTCATCTAAGTATGGCTTCGAGTGTCACCTATGTCTCACATGGACATAAACTAATCTGTTTTGTTGGAAACAGATGAAGTGGTGTTTCGAAGCCCTTCTAATTTACAGAAAACAATGCCGTTCATTCTCTCTCAAATCACTGTGTCAGGGTGGAAAAGCACACTTCTGCACTCGGATTCAGTGTCAGGGGAAAGTCCTCTGAAAAATCTAGTGGGCATCTAGCCCTCAAAAGCAGTTTAAGAAGTTACTTTTTATGTCATTCTTTAAGTGGCCAATCATTTTAAAGAAATTAAATGGGCTTTCTGTTGATTTTCCTTTCACTTCTAAATGAAGTAAATGCTGCTGGTGAAGAAGCAGCAAGTACAAGGAGCATGTGCCAGGGGAGCTGAAGGTAGGCAGCACAGTATGTGCGCAAGGCCATAGGTAACGAGCGGTGCCTCAATCAACAGAGCTGGTTATCTTCACACTCGGTGCTGGAGGCCGCCAGTCCTGTGCAATCCTTTCAAGGTCCCTGCTCATCCCTGGAGCCCGGTACATATGGTAAGCAGACAGCTGTAGCTGAAGGATTAGTTTGGCAAATGGCTGTTTGGCATCTTGCTAGAAAATCAGGCCAAGGGGTCCAGGCAGGACAAGGTAGATCCACATTGCCCAGGACACAAAGCAGCCAGTACCTCATCGCAGCAGCTGGGTGTGTGCCATCTGCTCACACCTCCAGGTCTTGGTGTCCCTGGATATACCTGGCCAAAATGCCCGGGAAGAAGAAGGGACCGTTGTGCATAACACTGGCCAGCCCCAAAGTACTCCACCTGCCCCAAAGAAAGCCACTTATAAAGAGCCAAAAGCGCAGGGTGTGATGGCGTGGCCCCACCGTGGCTGGGGAGGGCACAGAGGCTGCACCCAGCCCCTCCATCAGGCAGAGGGGGACGTGCTGTGGCACTTGCTCCTGGTCACCCCCGGCCTGGGACAGGTGCTTCCACCTTCCTGTTCCAGGTCACTCCCCTGTGAACTTGCCCCGGTTGCCTTTGAAGCCACACAGATGGCGTGAACAGGGTACGCTGAGTCCCTCTGCCAGCTCTGTGCATGCAGAGTGTCATTGCCTCCCTCTAAAGTGTAAATGAAAGCTGCACAGAGGACAAATCAAAGTTTCCTCTGACGGCAAGCAAGGACTGTCTTTCAGATAATGGGCAACCCTAAACAAGCTGCCTGGAAAGCAGCACAGTTCACACCAGCTACGGGGTGAGGTTGCATGCTTCTGTTCAGGAATTCCTGGGCAAGCGGCTGTAAGTGATCTCTGGAGCAAGTGCAACACATCCAGAAGGCTTTAGCCTTACTCTGAATGTCCAGATTGTTGGATCAGTACCAGGAGATTCAGGACTCCCCGGGCTTACTCCGTAGGAACTATAGAGTCGTCCCTATGTCCAAGGCTCCCAGCACGCAGCAGCCCAGTGGGAGAAGTAACTGCTAGTGCCGGCAGCTCCTATACGAGTGTCTGAAGTCTTAAATCTCCCAGGTGAGTCTGGGTAGAAAGCGTACATAGGCAGCCTTTGCAGTTGGGGAAATTCTTTGGGCGCTTGGGGGAGTTGTAAGAATGGCAGGCACAGTTTGCTACCAGAAATATTTTTCTAGCTATTTCTGCCTTCACATCTTTTTGTGCTTTATTGCATCCCCATGGAAGGCTTCTAGGAAGAACATCTTGGGAAGGAGAGAGCTATAGTATTTATGTAAGTGGAAATGTTGACAAGATGAGCTGGGAAGAACGTGTATAAAGATGTTTCAGTGCACAGGAGAACTGGGGAGTCCAAGATTCTGATGTGAACATGAAGGCAAAGTCTTTATTTTTGCACGTTTATTTTTACCCGGTAGATAATGCGTTACATCTTTCTACTCTTGCCAGGATCACCTTAATTTGACGATGCAGATATTGGAAGAGCTAATTATATATCTACCCCATACAAGTTGTCAAATATGAACATGTGCCTATGCAGATGAGTATGTATAGTCCATGAGTTTCTGTGGTTAATGCTCTGTGCTTATTCTCCTAACACGTGTTAGAAGCAGAAAGACTTCAATGAGACAAAGGTGTGGTACAATCACATCAGCAGACATTAGCTTTCTGGGCAGCTTTTTCCATTATGTAAAAGCTGTGTTTGTATTAGTAGAGCAGTCAGACCCACCAGTGTGAGGATTACAGTTGGTTTTTACATAATGGATTATCCAAGATTAAGTGTTTTATTCAGGCACACGAGCGAAAATAACCAATTAGTGACTTTGCAGATTCATTATTTAAAGGCAGCTGGAGGGAAATTGACACAAAACTCTCCTGCTGACTGCAGCCCAAAGATTGAAGCAGAGTAGTCTCAGGGGATCTCCAACGTCTCTATCCCAACAGGTAGGTCTCTCTTCAGCAGAGGTGGGCCAGATTAGCATCTCGTGCAGCTTACATGGCAACAGCTGGGAACAGAGTAGCTGCTTGGGTGTTTGGAAGTCCTGGGTTGATAGCTCAGCTTGGATGCTGCAGGCAAGTTTCAGGTAACTGTGTTTTATCTTGGCATCAGAACAGGTATTGAGGGTCAAATACTCTGCAAGAATGTATATGCAGGTGCTCTCTTTCCAAAGTGTGAGAAACAAATATGCTGGGATATGGATGAACTGGGATACCCTAGGAGACAAATAAAGCCATGGCCACCTTGGGGCTGTGCTGCAATGGCAGATCAAGCCTCTAGAAACTGAATATTATTTGTCACATTTGTAGAGGGAATGGTCTGAGGGCAGACAATGACAAGATGTATTTTGCCATTACAGTAGGCAGCTAGGAAGAGCCTGTTTCGGTGATCAGAACTGCTCATAAAGAACACAGCTTTGCTGGCTTGAAAGCAAAGTGGACACTTACTGTGAAATAATTAGAAATAACATCCTTACAACCTACAGTGCTTTACCAGAGCTCATCAAAATATTGTTCTTCTTATGAAAACAAAAATTCAAAAAATTTCAAATTTTTACCAATTCTTACCAACCTTATCCAGAGTCTGGCTTGATTTAGAATGTAAAAATATCATGAACTTCAATACTACTACTGCCAAGCAAAATACTCTTGCAAAGTAATTCCCATTGATGCTCAGTTTTGGCTGGATTTAGGCACCACAATGACCCAGTGGTTTCTCAGTGGAGGAGTTGGTAGTCTACTCAGAAAAAACTAGTTGTAAAATGAGGGGAATGTATCTGTAGGCACAGCACTAACTACCCACATCCACTGCATGAAATAAAACTCCACATTTGCTTTTGTCTTGCAGAATGAAATACACACAGTATGTTTTCCTGGCCTCGATCTTCTCCACTGTTGAATATAGCCTAGCTCAGACCTGTGCAGTGGATTCTTTCTCTGTGAAAGACAATTTTGATCCAAAAAGGGTAATTATGGTTACTTCAGTAGTATATGTGAAGAAGCTTCATACATAAGCTTTTTCCAGGTTATGGGTTGTGTTTATCTAAAGGGGTTCCTCACCAAGAAGTTAATGTCTTCTATATGCTGTCCCTCAGATACTGTTCCTGTAGTTTGCTTTTCTCACTACTGTTCAACCCTCTGAGCACTATGGTAAAACCGGACATGAAAGTCAGGGATGTTACTCTGTCAGATATCGTCTTCTGTTAGCTCAAAGCTCAGTACAGATCTCAGCTTTGAGTGGTCCCGTGAATGAAACAATTTAGATCCCCATCAGAGAGAAAGCCCAAATACATGCCCTGTGGGACTTGCATCCACCACCAGCCGTTCTTGGGAGTCATAGCAAACTGAAAATTTATCTAGTTGGATATCCTGAACACAGACTGACTCTTATTTAAACACAGCATTTAATCTGCCTGCCTCTGAGGAGGAAATCAGGGCTAACTTGATGTTGGAAAGGTCCAGACGGGTGTACCAGTATCTATTTTGACTGTCCCTCAGCAAACATCACTTCCAGCTGCAGCTGGGGTGGGGCCAGTACTTCCTCTACACGATTGGCTTTGCTGGAAACAAGCCCATGTCTGCAGAGAGCTTTGGGAACATCCCAGTTTTAAAAAGTCAAAGTGTTTCTCAGGCTCCTTTATTTGGGAATTACAGACTCTGTTTCAGGCTTAAGCATGTAACTTGCCAAACAGATTGCATTAGCTTCACTGAAGAATCAGATTTAACACAGCTAAGTTCTGCTTTCCTTAGTATTTCTACTAATAATGTTAACTTTTGAGGGCCTTCCTGTCTGTCAGTCACCTGTTTAGATCTTGTTTTTGTTTTACTAGATACTGCTTGTACATTTTCAGGGACCCATTTTTTCCTAGAAATTTTCTTCCCCTTAATCTCATCTCGTTTCATTTCCCCTTGCTGCTAGTCCCCCCAACACATCCTTTCCTCTTCCTAGTGCACAGAGTCATCGCTTTCTGCTTCACTGGGTAGACCCTTTTCACCATCAGAGATCAACTGTGGCCCCCGGCAGCCACAAGAGTGTCTTCAGCCAGCTTGCTAAGGTCTTTGTGACTGCAATTTGGTATCGTTGATGGCATCTTCCATGGAAAAGCAGGGGTCTGAACAGGAACAGGGAAGAACCGGCCTGACTCCCAGCAGGCATCTCGGGATGGGAGAAGCTTTCAGTGTGGGGTCACTGTGACGGGAACGTCTCACATGACAATGAGCACATGCACACAGAAGTGTAGAGCTGCTAGACCCACTCCTCCTGGCACAGAGGCAAGGGTTCATCAGACAGCGTAGCAGGACCTGTGTGCTACATACCCATCCAAACTCAGACTTTCTCCATAGGCCAGGCAATGGGTAGTTAGAAGGGCACTATGTTCATGAAAATGCTTTTGTGCTAATCTTGCCATGGCAATTAATCCAGATATTAATAGTCTTTCATGTTAGTATGCAGGGAAATGGTATGCCCTGGCCAAGAAGGATCCAGAAGGCCTTTTCCTTCAGGACAACATCTCTGCTGAGTACACTGTGGAGGAAGATGGCACAATGACAGCATCTTCCAAAGGCCGAGTGAAGCTTTTTGGGTGAGCTCCCTTGACTTTCAGCTCTAGCTGTTGCCATGAGGTACTAGAGGAGGGGGACGTGGATGGTGATCTATCCTGAGCACACAACATGAATGGGTTTTTCTTCATCAATAAGGGAAGCTCAATCAGGGTAATATATTAGAAGCCCAAGGTTAGACACTTTTGAGTCCTGGGTTACTTCTCAGCCTGGCTCTGGTCTGGGTCCATCACAAAACTACTGCATAGAGCCAATTATAAAGTAAAATCTTGAATGATGGAGCAGTTAGGTAAATGAGTTGCAACCAAGTGAGAGGAGCTAGTGAAGCCCGTGGGGCTGCAAGGGCAGGACAGCTTTCATTTCACTGAGAGGTTCAGGGGAAGGAGACGAGTGTAAGTGAGCATTACTTTCACAGATCTTTCAACATAGTGTTGGACGGACTTCTGGGGAAAACACGTGTTAACTCCTGGATGCCATTGCGATGCCTGAATAGACAGATGGAAGGAAGCTTAAGAGTTTTGCCTGTTGGTCATGGTTACTATAAGGAATTATACCATGTAAAGGGATGAAATAGCTTTCTGGATGCAGAAAAGAAAACTTGGGGCTTCCAGTAGGCTAGCACTAGTTCTGTTGTGCATTAACTACCAAAAACTGTCTAACTGCATGAATAATAGAGTAGAGCAGGTGGCTATGAACATTGTAAGTCTTAACAGCACAGCACTCCACAATATTTTGGGATGGGGCAAATGAAGCTTTGCAGGCATGCCACGCAGTGTGGGTGGGCAGATTCCTGAAAGGACTCTTCAGAAACCAAGTGGGGTCTCAAGGCTGCCAAGAATTTATTTCTGCAATGGCAAGGTAAAGGGGAAGTGCAGCCTGTGCAAGGAGGGGAATGAAGACCCTTCCACTGTTTCACAAATCCAGGTAACGCTTGACAAACTGTGCTAAGACGCAGGTGGTATTCAAAGCAAACAGATGCCATCTAGAGAAGGGCCTCAGAAGAAATGGACCATGAAGATAGGCTGTTCAGGCACCTACAGGGCTCCCACAGCCTGTGTGAAGGCCTTTAACTAGCTTGGACAGCAGAGTGGCTGTAATTATTTCCGTGCTTGTAACAGAAGTCCCTGTGCCAATAGAGCTAGGAAGGATTACAGAGAGGAGAGCCAACTCCCTGCCGCCACCCGGGGACACAGCGAATGAGCCCAAATGAGCCCAAATACAGGTCAGCTCACTCTGCAAACTGCCAGCAGGGAGCCAAGAGATGATGTCCACCATTTTGCTTCGTGGCTGTCTGCTTGTACAGAAATGGGTGGTAAAAAACCTGCTGAGCTGAAGGAGGGTCAGGGCACTCCCCCAGCCACAGCATACTTGCACAGCAGAGGGGAGGACCAGACAGCAGCAATGCACTATCAGTGATGGGGGGTGTCACAGATTTGCATTACTTAATGGCAAACAGTGACTTTGCATTAAGAAAGGCCATGCCCGTGCCTGAGGCAGTTGTGCTGAACCATAGCCTGGTTCTTGCCCGAGTCCTGAGTGAGGGACATCCATTTGAAGCTCACATGCCGCAGGGTTTTACCTTCAGTTTCACGGATCTCATTGCAGGTTTTGGGTGATCTGTGCTGACATGGCTGCTCAGTATACAGTACCTGACCCAACCACTCCAGCAAAAATGTACATGACGTACCAAGGTCTGGCCAGCTACCTTTCCAGCGGTGGTGAGTGAACTTCTCCAGCCCCCCAGTGCGGGTCGATAGCTTACAGCTGACCAGATTTGTGTATTTCAGTATATGAGCAGGAAAAACAGTTGAGCTCAGATTGCTCCAAGTAGAGACAAAGTGTCCTTTTAGGGGGGACACTTTATCCAAGCAGTGCTTTTTATCTCCACAGAAGGGCCAGGATCCAAAGACTCCCCAGAGACCCCACCTATACACCATATATAAACAGGGAGGATGCAGCTCAGAGGCAATGGGCCACACACACAGATTTTGTGCAGCCAAGAGGGGTGCTGAACCTGGGGAAGCAATACTTCCTGAGCCCCACAGTGAGCATTATAAAGGTGCTGAGGGTGAGTCATCCTTGTACTCCTCATAGCTAATGGGAGGTGACATGTGGACCCACATCTGCACTCCAGCAGCAAGGTACAGTTCTCCTCAGACAAAGCTGGACTCAACAAAATGGAGCTGTTAACTGAAGTCCCCCTTGCAGAAACTGCTTGTGCTGAACCTCCGTTATGCACCCTGCACACCCCTTACTTTGTGCCTCAGTCTCCCATAGCTGTGGGACTCCAGCTGTGGAAGTTGGGCAGGACTTGGACTGCTAACGCGTAAGAAAGAAGTACATTCACTTAGTACTGGCAGATAAGCCACACCAAAATGCTCAGCGCTTAGCTGAGCAAGGCTGGAAAACAGGAGGCATGTTTTGCTGAGGCTTCTTGTACAGGAAATGTACGGCCAAAATTTAATCTGTATGCCCTGCCCTCCCATGCTTGAGCGAAAAACATAAAGCAATTTTTTGTCATTGAAAACCTGGAAAGTCCTAGTCCTCCTAATACTTCTAGCCTAAGAAACCAAAGGTGAAAATGCACTGAGCATCATGGGGAACAATGTGGTCTCAAGATGCCCTGTGCTTGTCCCAATTCTTCACTTCATGGTGTGGAGATAAGCTGGATGTGGGAGGTGGCTTTAGATCCTTTGGGAAGCTATCCCTGCCATGTGCTGAAGTGAGGCGTCTCCCTGTGGTATGACTAGGTCCACCTCTGCTCTGTTTTGCCCACCGTGACAAACACGTTTCGATGTTTCAGGGGACAACTACTGGGTGATTGACACCGACTATGATAACTATGCCATTACCTATGCCTGCCGCAGTCTAAAAGAGGACGGCTCCTGTGATGATGGCTACTCCCTGATCTTCTCACGCAACCCCCGTGGCCTCCCCCCAGCCATTCAGCGCATTGTGCGTCAGAAGCAGGAAGAAATCTGCATGTCTGGCCAATTCCAGCCTGTGCTTCAGTCAGGTACTTTGGGCTAATTAGCAAACTCACTGAAATGGCTTCACTGGCAGCTTGTAGAGTAGGTGATCGCATTTGCTGTAAATGCGACAGAACCATAGCAAACTAAGTTGTACTCTTTTAGCAACTTTTTTTTAATGTTATATCTAATAAGAAAATAGCTGCAAAGGGAAGTCCATGCAAGGGAGAGAGCCTGTTACAGGGTGGTTCTGCAGCCTTAAGTTTGCCCTTATAGGAATCCTGTGTGCTGAAACTGACACACTGCCAAAGGAAGATGAGCTTTGTTACTCTAATAGATAGGATAGGGATGGGTTAACAACCTGGTGTTTCTGCACTTGGAAATGCTTGTCTTGGCCACCTGGGTAACAGCATCTTACCTTAGGTCTGTGCAATGTCCTCCAGGAAAGGAGGAGAAACTGCCTCCAGGAAGGAGCACCTTCACTCTTCTTAGCTCCACCATGATTTGTGTCCTGGCCGGTCTGAGTAGCAGAGACAAGGGGCTCTGAGCAGCGGTTCTGACTGTGTCTGCTGGCAGTGGGAGTCAGCAGTTGCGCCACATACATGCGAACAGAGCAAGGCTAATGGGCATTTTGAGAGAACTTTTTTTATGGAGGCATGGGAGCTGATCTTCTAGCTCATATGCTGTCCATGAGATAAGCAGGTAATTTTTTAGGGCTATGCTGGAGACAGAAATTCGTCTTTGTTGGCAGCTGAGTGCCCACACCCTTCACACGCACACTGCCGTGCCTGGAGATTGGCCCTTTACTAAGCCAGGCCTAAGGACCTGGACTGGGAGATTGCCACAGTAACACACATACTCTGTACTGCTGGACAAGAAATAGCAGCTAAAACCTTCTGAATGGCACATCGCTGTGTGAGCCAGTCCTCCACTGCAGAGCAGGCACTGGCATCATCCAAGGTTATGGGACTGGTATGGGCACCCCTGCCCCACGCCCCTCCGTATTGCTTACTGTAGCAGAGGGAGGGTCGTTGGTTTGTGGGCTCGTGCCTAGGTGCTCACGTATGCTGAAAATTCATGGCTAGCTGGGACTAGCAAAGGCTGTGCAAGTGCTGTGCCAACACAGAGCAATGCAAACAACAACTTTTGCACTCCCCCATCCTAATCTTGTACTGTGATGCAGAAGTACCCTAGGAAGGTTGTAGCTACAGCTTCACTGGAGACTAAAAGGCCGTTAAAGCACTTTGCAAATTTACTTACAAGGACTAAGTTTACTTTTCTTTCTTTCTTTCCAGGGGCCTGCTAAAAGTACACTTCTGATCCTATCCTTAAGCACAGAAACCGGATCTCTTGGTCTTGGAAGTTGCCACTCAGCTAATAAAAAAAGAAAATCACAGTATGGACTACTGTGTTTTTCCTGAAAAACACATGAAAATGTTGAGGTTTTTGTAAACTGTGTGCAATACAGTATTGATATTTGAATTTTCAAGGGAATACCTAATGTGGCATTTGCCAATAAATTTTTAAAAAAAAAACACCTCTGGAACTGCTTTTTGTTACCTGCTGTCCTGTCGGGGAGCAGGAAGAGCAGGGCTGCTCACCGAGGGGAGGTGAGATGGCATCCAAGGGTGGCCCCAGTACAGGCAGGGCAGTGTCCCTCCCTGGCACCAAGCAGGGGGAGCAGGGCAGGGCTGGTAACAGGGACAGGTCTCCTGACAGTGCTGATCGTCAGACAAATGCATGCTGATAAGGCAGGTCTGGGGTTCACCTGGGAAGTCCAGCCAGCGAGCGAGGGCAGCAAGGCACAGGGCAGGGCACAGGCATGCCTGTGAGGTGGCTGCAGCCAGAAACAGGACTGGAGAGCGGGTCAGCGGCAGAGCTACCTGCAGTAAGGCTCCCAAGGGGGCAGGGGCCTAGGCTGAGCTGAAGAGGGTTTGTGGACCATGGGCAAGGGATATGCAGGTGGAGGTCCCAGGTGAGGCTGTGCACAGCAATGAAGGCTTGTGGGTGCCTGCAGGGCCCTGGCACACACAACGTACCTCTCCCACCAACATTTCTATTTAAATTCTGAAGCTAAGAAATCCTCTTGAACAACAACTCTGAGATGAGGCCGATAGTGTGATCCTTGCTGCCTAGTAATATCTTATGGTTATTTCTGGTACATCTGAATACTCAAAAGTCTGCACAGAGTATTTCTAACTAGCCCCTGAATCACAGATGCAATAAAGCAGATGTTCCTTTCAGTAACACTGGGACATTGCTTTAAATGAGCAGTTACTTGCATTTCTAATGGCATAAGCAGTAATTTACTTCCCACTGCCTTCATAATCCAGCCTCCAATATCTGAGAGGTATAGAACTGAAAGATACAGAACTGACAGGTTTTATGGCCAAGAATTTCATGGATAGAGGGAATCAAAAGAATAGTATCTAGACAACTCCATGTGGAAAAAGGGTAACCTGAGTCACCATTTTTGACATATATTTCCCACTGCTCTTAGTAAAATCACATTCACTTTGAATGTTTCCTATGAATAAAACTACCAGTCCAGAACACCCCCAGCACCCTGCTGAATTCTGCAGTTTGTCAGCAACACAAGTTTTTACAAGTCATGATTACCAAGCATAGAGGGAAGACCAAGCTGAACAGCCCCTGCTCCTGAGGCTTTCAAAAGGTATGTGGCACAAGGTTGATATTGAGTGAAGACCTTCAGAGCACTACACTATAAAACAGCTTCTGCAAGATGCTTCCACAATTTTATCTACAGTATCCAGTGATTATCTATCATCTACTGCATCTGTTGGAAGGAGCATAAAAACCACTGACTAAAGACTCTTCTCCAAGGCCAGAGACATTATCCCAGGGATGCAGGGAAGTCTCTCAAGCTTGCATTTCTCAGGATTTCCAGGCGGGACTCCTAAGGCTCTCAGTCAGCACTGAATAAAGGTGTTCCTTGCTCTTCTGGTCTAGGGAAAGCTACCCTGATGGGGAAGAAGATGGTGAACTACCATCTAAAGCTAAGGACAGAAACAGAAGAGCAGCACCAGGCAATGCAAACAAAAACCCACATAGATAGAGACTATTGAATGTTGAAAAAATATCAGCCTTTTGTGCTGGACTAAGTGCAAGGTCAGTGCATTGACTGAATGTTCACCGATTGCCCCCCTCTCCCATGAGGAAGTATTGGGGTGGAGATCTGTGAACTTAGGACTTGTATCACAAGTGATTAGACAACACTAACCCTTAGCTGAAGGAGCCTGGCCTTTGGCCAGGACATTCAGACCAATACTACCAGTCCAAAAGAAGTGGGATTTTTAATGTCTACTGTTATAGTAACTGTATGACCAGAGCAGATGGGAGTTCTAGCAAGAAGGATCTATATGCAGGACCAAGTGCATCCTTATTGTGCTTGGTATAGTCTGTCCAGAAGAGTTAGGCAGTGAAATCCCTCCTCAGCCACAGAAGGTCGTGCCTCCAGGTTCACAGGAGGATAGTAGTGATGCTGGGAGAATACACCATGGAGTTACACATGCCCCAGGAATCTGCCTTGTTCTTGGAGGAACTCGGGGAACACGTGCCCAGCAGGACCACATGCAGGCCCTTATCATGATCTGGTGAGTTAATAAACAGATGGGAGTTAGCGCATATCCATTTCTCTCCACTGACTGAAGGAAATGTGAAAGATGAGGTAGGATAGGATAGGCAGCTACGAGTGTATTCTGATCTGGTTTACACTCCTCTTGTTATTCCATTGAGTTCAACGTAAAACATCTAGGATATGTCTAGAGGCAGACACACTTCTGTCTGCTGTTTGAGCTGGCTGATGAGAACAGCCTATTATTCCTGGTTTTAAGTGCATGTATAGGTCCCAAGCGATAATTTCTGTCCTGCACAAACTTTCCACTAACAAGAGAAAAGAAAAAGCTGTTTACGAATGAAAAGGACTGTTATTTTGTCCTCAGAAGGTCCTTTAGTGCTGGCAGAAAGGCTACGACTGTGCAACAGCAGGAGGAACCCTGCAAGGATATTGTCCTTCACATGCCAGTGAACCTCCTCCCAGCAAGGACACTGCAAGTCCTGAGATCAGACACTACGATATTATGTTAAGTTAGACCAGTTTTCCCTGGGCTGTGGTAAATGAGGCAATCTATGCATTTAAGTTCCTACTTCAGCCTTAGAATTTCTTATGGTCACACTCCCTTCATGCTTCATTTTTATGTAATGTTGGAACTTGCACCAATCAAGCTATCTTTTATACCTTGAGAACAGGCTTTACTTCCCAAGATTAAGTTGTTGATACAAGAGTTTTGAGCACTTTCTAGAACATGATGATCAGATCCTATTTTACCAGGTTCATGTGAAAGATTAAAACCTGGTTTTATTGGGTAGCACAAAATATGGTAACAAATGCACTATATACACAATTAGATAATATAAAACACTCCTTTGAAAGGTTTTTCCCTAGCATTCATTTTAACAAACAGTTGCAAAACTGTTACATAGCCTCAGAAGCTTTTGCTTGAAGAGCAGGCAAACAATCTCATCTTGCAGTTGCAGTTAGATTTTCCTATTTGGATTTATGGCCAGGAAGAGACATACCTGATTGCTCTGCAGTCTTGCTTTGGTTCTGAAGCTACAAAACTACTAAGCACCTGCTACTCCCACTTAGCACTCTGCACATCTGGCACTTCTGAAAACTGAAACTGTGAGGTGGGCTGATCACTGCCAGGTAACGGAGGAGATGGTAGAGTTAAACATCCAATTTTGGAAGCCCTATCAGACAGTCAGTGACAGATGGTTACAGAAAACTCAAGTTTCAAGTATTAAATAGCATTTTTCTGTAGACGTTGAATTATAAAAAAGACAAGGGCAGCCTAAAACTTCTATACTTTGTTGGAAATAAACTCAAGCCTGGAAATAACAAATTCTCTTCTCTGCTGCAATTGTTTACACTTGCTCATTGCTTGAAAGAATAATTTTATACCAAAGCAGCAAAGAAGAAGAAGAAGAAAAAAAAATCTTGCTGAATATTCAAAACTTGTTTCTGAACAGAGTGCACCATTTTTGGTCAGCTCTGCTTTCCGTGCGTATTTGCCACTGCCAGGAAAATACCTGAAAAAGCACTGTGCCTCCCACACTTTGAATGATGTTTAAGGTAAAAGCCCTAAAAGAGGGACCTATTGACAGATTTTCAAAGTGGCTGGACTTGACCCTAAGAAACTGGATTTTATTTGCATCTACAACATGTTAAGCTCTACCCTTGGAAATAAAACCTCTGCTTTTTTGTGGCTTCAATAAACAATACAATAACATATGAAATTTTACCTTGAAACTTTAGCGAAAACAGCACTCTTACTTTGCTTTTTAACAGGACAAAAAAAGCAAGCATGAGAATTACAAACCACTTCAAAGATGCAGCTGCAAGCCTCATGTCTGTCACTGCTGAGAAGCAGAAATCCTGGGCCAGCAGAACTCCCAGCCTAAAATCTTCTAAAAGATGATAACTTGCCGTAAAGGAAATCACTTGCCATAGGGACAGACTTCAATACCGTGAAAGAGTAAGTGAATCACCATTCTCTGCTCTGCACCTTTGCAAAAGCCAAACATTCCACCAGGACTCACCACTGCCTGCTGGGCAGTGATTTCTGATCTTCTATTTTTTCATGATTTGCACACCTATACATTTTCTACTACATCCCTGCATAGCAAAATCAATACTCTTCATGACAGCTATGCTCCATTTTTTTTCAAACACCTGTAACTAGTGCATGGTCATTGGTTTCATAAAGACTGCTATATTCTGATTGCCAGTGTGGGAAAATTTTAAAGCAGAACGCTACTCAAATAGGACATCCTAAAAGGGTAAACTGTCCTCTCAAGTTCCTGTATCTTCCCCTGCTTCAGACGCACTGAAATCTCTGAAGGACCTATACTTGAATATTTCTAAAAGTCATTTTTATTGTGGCTCCACTTCATACTGGCAAAACACTATGTCTTAACTACTAGATTTTATTTAACTGCGTATTCTGATTCTTCACTTAGGGATAGTTATAACAACTTTGAAATGTATTTTTACTATCTATCTCCATCCAAGTAGAACTTCTCACTAACTTTTCTGAAACTGAGGAAGTTATCAATTAAGTAGGCTCCAATGGCCCTTTTCGGTTCTGCACAAGCCTTTATGGGAGAGGAATTGGCAGATTAGGATGTGACAAGCACTCCTTATTCAAACTTCAGTGAGGCAAGAAATATTTCATCTGAATTCTGTGACAAAATGAATCTTTTAAGGCTAACTTGCAGCATAAGCACATGAACAAGTAACCAGAAGGTAAGGAGATACAAGGGCCCATCTCATATATACTGACTTTTTGTATATGTTTCTTTTCTGTGTAGAAGTGAGGCCATTTGAAGTAGTTCAGCTCAGTCCTACTGTGTAAACTTGTTTTTTTTGTCTGAGACCTGAATGTTTCATCAAATATGTAGTCTTTGTTGTTATGCTGGTGAGGTGGCTGATGTCAGCAAAGAGAGCAGTAGGGGATTTGTTTGTGCGACAAAGTTGCTCCTCTTACGGAAAACACCCCAGCTGTTTTCACTGGCATTATCCTTCCCTCTACAAGCATTTTAAAGGCAC